CTGGATCGGAGCTAGCGAGGAAATAAAACAGCATGATTACTCAAAGGGCCTGTATTAAAATTCTAAACAAGATACTGCTGAGCAAAAAGTCTCACGAAGATAGCGTTCGGTTGTTTGACGTTACTGCGCTATGGCTCGTAGATGAGCCAAGGTTCAAGGCTGGAGTGCAGCGCCATTTTCCGAGATTTACCTGATCGTCCTCAAAAAGCAACTTTGCCATACTCAGCCCAGTGGTATCTGTTCAAGTGGATTTTGCTCTTCAAAACGCACCACAGCTAAAACTCGTAAAGCAATCACAGACAGCGTGACCGAAATTTCCCAGAAATTCTTCGTGCCACCGTTGTAGCGTTCCCGAAACTTCTATGAGCTGTATTAGTGCGGGAGGCAACCATATCTGACGACCTTGCAACGATTTCCTTGCTCTGACACAATGTAAACATTTACAAAGTTCATTGTGTTGCAGTTGAAATTGCACTTGGTTGGCATAATGCTCTGTTGCCGTGTATTGTTGACGCACCCTATCATGTTGCGGTCGTGAGCTATGGCAAAAGCTTCCTAGATGAATCGATTCTTCCTTGTGAAGTGATATTTAGAACCATGTCAAACATTATGCTACGATTTTTTATATGCTGAGATAGCACGGTGAATCTAATTCCGAACAAAATAACATAATCCAGTCAAGTCTTACAATTTCTAGACCCCACCAGTTGCACCACTTTCTAAGGGCTGTAGTTTTTTTGTGAGTGAGTATGAACTAGTGACAGACGTCGTTTCTGTATTTTCAATTTTCGGATCGTGCCCAGCACAGCAGACTTTTAATCCCGTTTTTGGCAGACTTTTATAGAGGACTGAAGCACCAACCTAACAGCGGTCATCGATTTCTTTTTATTTTTATTCCTTTCTCAGATTTCCCAGCATCGGCTAGCATTTCTTAGGTCTTGGTTGGCATTCAAGCTCCCACAGATTTGAACGGGTGGAAGACGTTTGGCGCATGCAGAAGATTTTGACCAATGTCAAGCTCTTTATGTTTTCCCGTTGTGAGGCGCCACTCATGATTAAAGAAAAGAAACAATAACTCCATATTGACTTCGAAAGTTCCACTTTTGATAAAATAATCTGCTACCTTGAGATGTAAAAATTTGTTCACATGAAGTGGTGGTAGGAGGGAAGTCTGAAGTGAGTCGGAGTTTATGATGAAAAGCAGCCTATTAGAAATCGAGGTAGAGGTGGTCGTTGGTGTAAGGATGACCTCTATTTTGCATTTTCGAATTGGTGCGACTCTCATAGGTGGTGCACTATTCAACGCTAAGGATCTCTGCCAGAGC